TATCGGATTACATTTCATTTGAGATTCTGTTGTACCCTTTCTCACTTTCATCTCTATTTGAAAATCCAGGTACACGTTCGGCCAGCCCGTGAAAGGCGAAGCAACGTTAAGAGTGAGCAATGAGCAAAGTGGACGTTGTCACACTCGGGTCAATAAAACGTTACCGGTAAGTCTGTTCAGATTCAACCGTACTCTATAAGGATCTGTTTGAGTCATCCTCCCCCCCCCCCCTCTCTCTCTCTCTCTCTCTCTCTCTCTCTCTCTCTCTCTCTCTCTCTCTCTCTCTCTCTCTCTCTCTCTCTCTCTCTCTCTCTCTCTCTCTTCTCTTCTCTCTCTCTCTCTCTCTCTCTCTCTCTCTCTCTCTCTCTCTCTCTCTCTCTCTCTCTCTCTCTCTCTCTCTCTCTCTCTCTCTCTCTCTCTCTCTCTCTCTCTCTCTCTCTCTCTCTCTCTCTATATATATATATATATATATATATATATATATATATATATATATATATATATATACACACACACACACATATATATATATATTTACCTCTCTATCTCTTCCTCTTGTTCTGACTTTATACTGTATATTGGTATTTGTATGCATATGAATATATATATGTACACATATATGTGTGTGTGGTTTTTACGCATATCTCTTTCGCTTTTTTATTTCCTTGTTTTCCCTTTTCCTGTCCATCATCATTCCATCAGTCATATTCACCTCTTCGCAGATCACTGGCTGTCAGGACTTCGAGCTGACGTCGGAGGAGTTGCAGATCCAGGACTGTGATGTGTACACACTGCATGCCGAGGCCGAAGTGACGGAGAAGGGAACGGGTGTTACCTCGCTTGCCATAACCTTCACTTCCATCACCCATATTGCTGTTGAGTTTCATACCGTCTATAAGGACAATTATAAGAAGCCTAATCTCCCCTATACCCTCAAGGTGAGAAATTCATTATTATTCAAGCTATAGGACTAGAGTCACTTTACAGAAAGGCGCCTTACTCTGAAGAACTTCAAAAAAATATATATATATTAGGAAGTTCTTGCTCCACATTTCAGTAAATAAAGGTATTGCTAAACGGGAAGGCATCAACTGAAACAAAACAAAAAAGAACAAAAAGATATACGCTCATTCATCAATTCATTCCTTCAATGGTGTTCCTGAATGTAATAAGCATCAAGAGACTAAGTTCCTGATCTATTCGAAAGTTTGCTTTGTTGTTGTTTTCCAATATTTCAGCAGGTACACCGACATTATTCGAATATCTGCTAGGTTCCAGAGGATAATTCGGCATTTGTTGTTCCTCAGTTACGAGCAACTTTGCCTGACCAGTCGCCTGCTGCAGGGGTACTAGTGGAAATATGTGCAGCAGGAAAATGTGCCAACATGACCACAGCAAAAGATGGCCTTATAACTGCTACTGTAATGTCTGACAAGGCCAACAGGATTTTTGTAAGTATTACTGCCCTCCTTCCTATCTGCTTTTCATTTTTCTTCGAATGTCTCTCAGATACACTCTGTTTTCATTGTCCGGTTCCAGTGTATTTTTTTCCCTTTATCCAACCTTTCGATTACAGGTCTTAACCATGTAGCCTAAATGTGTAATCTTACGTTTGCGTTTTCTTCACCCCTAATTCAACTTCGCAAAATAATCTTTCACAGTACCACGATGTCGAATTCCCTCCGCAAATAATTCATAAGGAAATAACTTCCTCGTGTGCATACCCATCTCATTTCCCTTACAGATGTCGACGCTTAATTGTCGTGCAGGCATGGTTTCAGCCTCATACTCACATTCACTCGAACACTACTTCTCGCCCTCGGACTCAGCTCTGCTCATCTACGCCCCCGAAGGTCGTCTGAAGTGCGTGGCAGGTCAGAGTGTCCAGCACGACCTCCCACTCCTCTTCTCCGTCACCAACCAGGTCAAAGGGACGCTAAAGATAATGGTAATGAAAATGAGGCGCAGATTTCCTGTAAAACTTAATAGCCGTGGCTTTCATTGGTAGAATTCGCTGTCTTGCTTTTTCCTTTATAGGATTAATGGTTTTATCTTATTTTTAATGTATTCTTTCTAACGTATTATCATTATCATTGACATGGTAAGGATAACTGTCACTGACATTGCTATTAATTCTACTAGTATTATTATTATCATTATAATAACTAGTATTATCATCATGATCACTATCATTATTTATATCTTCAGAATTATTATCATCACTTCTTTCAGTAGAGACAATATCATGAGGCTAGGGGGTTTAAGGAACACTGCCTAAGTAATGAATAAAACGCCACATTTTCCCGCAGATTATTTCGAGAGGAATTATACAAAAGTGGTGGGAAGAAGACGTTGAGTTCGCACCGGGGCCTCTCCCAGTCGACGCTGAACACCTCGTGGACGCCCCCAGTACTCCTTCCCCTCCTACTGTCACGGGCGTGGTGAACTTGTCCGTCACCCTCCCGCCCACAGCCTCGCCGAAAGTCAAGGTTTGACTAGGTTATGGATGCTAGTGGTGTATGTTTGTATGTGTGTATGTACATGTGTGTGTGTAGTAGTAGTGAGAGAGAGAGAGAGAGAGAGAGAGAGAGAGAGAGAGAGAGAGAGAGAGAGAGAGAGAGAGAGAGAGAGAGAGAGAGAGAGAGAGAGAGAGAGAGAGAGAGAGAGAGAGAGAAGAGCAATCACACTGACGTATATGTACATCCTTAGTATTGCAAAAATGACCACCCTCTTCAAACAGATCTTGATTTGGTACACGAGAGAGGACGGGGAAGTGGTGTCAGACACAAGAGAGCTGGAGGTGGAGATGTGTTCTCCATCCAAGAGCAGCCTCGCCTGGTCTGCCGCACAGGGAGAGCCTGGGGAAGAGGTGAAACTGACGCTGGTTGGAGAGCCCGGTGCCGTCTGCTCCTTGGGTATGTGTCAAGTGATGGCTTTTGGGGATTATCTAATGGGTGCATTACATTATCAAAATTGTAGAAAAAAGGTTATGGTATGGAAAAAAAATGTTTAGTCCTTCCAGGAAAATGGCTATTGTTTTGATATCATCTGTACATCTTAACTATGAATCATTTAATTTAATCATCACAGATTTTGTGTTTCTGACTGTAGGTTAACACGAGTCAGCTAAAAAAAAAAATCGAATAAAGGATAGATTCGGTAGTCGCTTTGCCTCCTCGAAAAATCGCACGTACGGTCCATACAAAAGAAAAGCATAATCGGCCTAAACTTAACTCTCACCCAACAACAGGAGTCGTTGACAGAAGTACAGAGTTGTTGTCGCAGACGGTTGATGTATTGACTTTGGACCAACTCGTCAGGCACGTGGCCGACTTCGAGATAGATATAAGCGACACGCAGGTGGACACCCAGGATTACTGCAGAAAAAAGGTTCTGGAAGAAGCGAAAGCGGCGATAGAACCAACGGACCCAATAGGTTTTTACGAGTGATTGCTTTTCCTTTGAGATTATTTTCGTGTGGTTGCTTTCATCTTTTTAGGGAGGAGGGGTGTGTATATATATTGATGTGTGTGTGTGTGTATCTCTATATATCTGTACTTATATCTATCTACTTAACTATCTATCTATATCTAACTATCGATCTAGCTATCCATCTATCCATATCTATCTATTATGTATGTATGTATATATATATATGTATATATATATATATATATATATATATATATATATATATATATATATATATATATATCTGTGTGTGTGTGTGTGTGTGTGTGTGTGTGTGTGTGTGTGTGTGTGTGTGTGTGTGTGTATGTATGTGTGTGTGTGTGTGCGTGTGTGTGCATATGTGTTTGTGTATGTGAGTTTTTATGTGTGTATGTTGTAAGTACCTTTGGATCCCATAACTGTATCTCTTTTTTCTCCAGAGAGCACCATAGCTATACGTTACATCAGGTACGAGAGTCATTACGTTGATGCCCTTCGAATGTTTGCCGTAAGTATTTAGAGATCACAATCTCTACATTCTCTCTCTCTCTCTCTCTCTCTCTCTCTCTCTCTCTCTCTCTCTCTCTCTCTCTCTCTCTCTCTCTCTCCTCTCTCTCCTCTCTCCCTCTCTCTCTCTCTCCTCTCTCTCCTCTCTCTCTCTCTCTCTCTCTCTCTCTCTCTCTCTCTCTCTCTCTCTCTCTCCCCTCTCTCTCTCTCTCTCTCTCTCTCTCTCTCTCTCTCTCTCTCTCTCTCTCTCTCTCTCTCTCTCTCTCTCTCTCTCTCTCTCTCCTCAATGTACACTCATGTACTTTAAAGAGAGAGAGAGTGAAAAGAACCTTCTGTTGGAATTATATATATATATATATATATATATATATATATATATATATATATATATATATATATATATATATATATATATATGTATATATATATATATATATATATATATATATATATATATATATATATATATATATATATATATATATATATATATATATATATATATATATATATATATAGATATGTATATATATATATATATATATATATATATATATATATATATATATATATATATATATATATATATATATATATGCATACACTTTTTATTTCCATATAACCAGTGCCGTGTGGTAGAGCCCTGAATCTCGACTTCTTACATCGATATTTCAGGACTCTGGGTTGCTCGTGTTTACCAATGCCATAATCGAGACACGGCCATGCGAAGGACATGGTAAGTATTTCTCAAAAAAGAAAGGAAACTAAAGGAAACGGAAAAAGTCATCTTTTATGTTAGATGTAGTGCTACGAAACTGCGTATGTGTACATGCTGTGTCGAAATAATCTGGAGAAATAAGCAATGACAATAAACAAAACAATGCAAAACTGACTACCGGAATAGCATTCACTGACCTTTTATTAAAGAGAAAATCTTACTCAGAACAGACAGGCTTAATGGCGGAAGACAACATGATGGTCTTAAAACACGCCTATCTGTCTTCGTCGTCTGTGAGAGACAAATTTCCGGAGACGTGGCTGTG